AGGTAATAGGATTCAAATCAAAGCTAAATTGGTAAATTACCTTTAAAACCAATTCCCTTCAATCTATCTATTGTACAAAGAAACATTTCTAGTAATAAGTAATTACAAATATGTGTGGTAACTAGTGTCTTAACATTATTTTTTCCCTCCATTTTTGAAGTAATTCTTTTTAGTTACTTTTGAATTTCAATTGTAAACATTTTTTTTCTGTATATTTTTGTTATATTTACTGTATGTACAGCTGCCTTGGAATTCAGTGCTGGTCACAGAATGGATACCCCCCCGATTAAAAATAAATAAAATAAATAAAATAAATAAAATAAATAAAATAAATAAAATAAATAAAATAAATAAAATAAATAAAATAAATAAATAAATAAAATAAATAAAAATAAATAAAACAATTAAAAACATAAATAAACAAACAAAAAAACAAATAAAAAACTATAGACCATAGGCTAGCTACAGGGCGGGACTAAATTCTCGCATTTTGATGTGATTTTAATTTGACCTCAAATTTTGATGTAAATTTCTGTATTTGCTTTTAGTTGTGTTGTAAATTTTGTGTTTTTAAAAAAATATATTAGGCCTATGTTTAAATTTTTTTTTTTAATTTATTCGCAGTCCAGCCATGTGCTGCAGTTATGTAGCACAGCTCTTCGCTATACCAGAGAGTATAGATATGAAGATGAATAAATTGAAAGTTTATTAGGTAGACCTAACCTCCTGGTAGAGATTTGTTTAATGGATTAAAATGTATTGTAAACATTATTATGAATTATTTTAGTGTTTATTTTTTCGGTTCTTTTATAAGTTAATCACTTAGTTATCTCGCTATTATGCCTTTACAGGCCTTGCTTAGGACGGTCTAGGCTTCATAAGTGTTAACGAGCACCGTACAGCGAGATTTGTTACTTTCGATTTGTGCGTACATAGCTTAAATATTCCAACGCGATGTAGTGCAATCATCCCAGCTTTGAACATTTTTTCCACACGAGACGCAAAAAAATCTGAGGCACGATCAGTCGAGAATAGGACAATTCAGTGCAAATGAAAGTAATGACGTCACCACTGATTTATAATTGTATGTTAGTACTGTGAAATTGCGGGAAATATTTAAAGAAAATATGGTACGGCAGAAATAGTGTACCGCATCAAACTATAGTATGAATGGACGTTAATTATAGTTCAAACTATACTTACCACCATCGTCATTTTGGCCTATGGTATCTCCAACAGACAATTTATAATTTTCACTCTCTTGCCGAATCTTAAACGAAGCATACGTTGCTGAAAATACATTCCCTGTTCTTGTGTGTGCTTCAATCCGGAGATGAAATTTCCCTCCGGATGTTAGCTTATATATAAATTCGTTCCCCAACCAAAAGTCGGAACGAAGGTCACCAAAGCCGCGTCTGTATTCCTCCCATGTTCTGTTGAAGTTAAAGGAGCTATTTTGTCGTTTCTGCAACACCTGAAACGCAAAGGTGTAGATGTTGATAATGTAAGTAATAAACTGGAACAATTAGTATCTGAAACATAGGTTTGAGAACAGGCATAGAAAATTATTGCCTTGAGATTTTAATTTAAAATAGTCTCAATATTATATTATTTATTATTACGGCAACAGAAGGAGGGTTTAAGTCGCTGCCCATGTCAGGTATCCATCCTACCTACGAATTCTTCTATCGACACTACGTAAGCAAGATCAAACACCCGTAGTGAGTCGATAAGAAGCAGATTCATACAGAGAAATGCCTGTTTATACTTCAACAATAACGATAACGACAAAAAAGCTAAAAAGCGATTGTTCATATAGAAAACAAAAGAAATAAGAGAGGTTTGTACACTAGAACGGTTCGATAACGATTTATCGTGTATACGATAACAAAATATTTTTAAAAATCAAATCAGATGACGTCATAATCATGGGGAAACGATAAAATTGTTGCTACTACTGCGATTTTAATGTTTTTCCAAGATTATGACGTCATCTGATTTTATTTGTCAAAATATGTTGTTATCGCATAACTGATGAATAGTTATCGAACCGTTCTAGTGTACAAACTTCTCTTATTTCTTTCATTTTCTATAAGAACATTTGCTTTTTAGCTTTTTTATCGTTATCGTTGAAGTATAAACAGGCCTTTATTCTGAAGTAGGTTTTATTCTTGTTGCTGTCTCTGTTGTTGTTGCTGCTGCTGCTGTTTTGAATAACAATATTAAATGTTAAAAATATTACTAATAATAATGATAATAAACTTGTTCTATTACCAATATTATCAATGATATTATTAATAATATATTTTATTTATATTGCTCTTCTTATCGAATCACTACATAGCTAGTGTGTATGATCTTGCTTACGTAGTGTGGTAGAAGGATTCGCAGGTAGGATGGATACCTGACATGGGCCGCGACGTAAACGCTCCTTCTGTGAACGGACAGGGGACTGGAAAATGGACCAGTACACCGGGGTAACCCCCCTACTCTTTTTGAATGATGTAATGGGTTCTTTAAAGTGCACACGCGAGCCAATTGTGTACACTGGGCCTACGGTTTAGATTCCTTATCCGAGAAGACTTGTTCCACCACCAAACGTGCCGTTCGGACCTCCCTATTATGGCTGAACCAGTGCCGATATATCACGGTTCCCCTGTCTTAACCGCTCGGTCAACCGACTTGCCCATTTTTTTTAATTTTTTTTTTTTTTTTATTTATTTATTTTTTTATAAATTTTTTTTAATTTCCTTCACATCCAACAGCAAGTACACCTGCCACTTACAGGATGAGAATGATGCTTTATAAACTAAGTCTCTTTATGAGACTTAGGGAGTGGAGTTGGTTTTGGTCGTGAAAAACAGTCCTGCTGTGACAGGAATTGAACCCAGGAACTTGGGATCAGAAGGCAAGCATCTTAACCACTAAGCTATTCAACTTCACTCCAAAAAAATAATAATAATATTAGTAATAGTATAATATTATTAATATCATTAAAACTATTATTATTATTATTATTATTATTATTATTATTATTATTATTATTATTATTATTATTATCATTATTATTATCATTAAGATTATTATTAATATTACAATTGATACATATGTAGTTTAGAGTTCTACGCTTGTTTATGTCAAAACGCCAACTATTTTTGACAATGCAATGTACCATAATACTTACGGTCCATCCTTCCTTATCCTTGATCTCGCATACCACAAGAACAGTTTCACGTCCATAGGCTACTGCATACCTTCCGGATTTCGATCGCGGCAGGGTTTTTGCGATCTGGCTGCAGTCAGTAACCTGGAAGTAGATCATCACATTCAGATTACTATTTAATTTAATAACAGTAATAACAATTAATTAATGTATAAGCCAATTCGTAGACGCTCGTATCCAAGGTCTATCGAGGTCAATCGACATATACCGATCGTGTGTGAATGGTGCTTACGTCAATTGATCTTGACGAGCATGCGCAGTTCTAACTACAAATTGGCTTATTTGTTTACATTCAATTGGTTAAAGAGATACTGTTTGTTTAAAGACTTGAACAATTGAATGAAAAAAAATCCATTCCGTATTTTAATTTCCTAATTTGTATGCTGTATGTTAGACTTGCAATTAAAAATATGTATAAGGAAGAACAAATTCTCTCTAATACATATTCTTTTACATAGACCTTAGTAGATAATCAAATTTAGGATTGGTGTAGTAAAATGTTGTTAATCAGAGAATTTTTTTGTTGTTGACGGGTAGTACAGTATATCTTTAAGCAAGATAAATATTGCAGTGTGTTCAATAGGCCTATTACATTACTCACATATGGTTTAATGGAATAATAGATCATTTCATCGGTATTGTGGTTGAAGGGCAGGCCCAGAAAGTTCCATAATTTACATTCAGCATTCGACTTCTTAAATGATATGGAAGTACAGGGAGGGTAAAAATGTAGACAGTTCAGACAACATGTGATGACTGAGTTTACTTTGGTAGGTGGCTTGATAGGATTAGAATCCTTCCGCCCACAACGTAACGTATTTTGGCATCGCTCGGACAACACAAATATCGCACTCCTGAGATTAGGGTTATTTCCTAGAAAACAGATAGATACAAATTGTAAAACATTTCAATATTGCATAACGACACCATCAAAAGAAATGTGATATCTGTACTGAATTACTTTACACGGAGAATGTATTCACGCTAACAGCTTTTATGGCCTGTTTATTAATGGTGGATTAAATGAGAGGCAAATTCGTACCGCTCTTCCCTCAATTTGAACTTTAAAAACAAATACAAAAAATGAATAAACAAAAGAAAATTATATCCAAATATTAAATCCGAGAGTGCTTTTTCCGGGTCATAATAATAATAACTTTTCTTATCTCAGCCACAACTATATTGGGGGCTGAGGTTATAGTCGCTCCCCTGGTCCCTGTTTCGAATTTCAGGATCTACCACTGGTTCTTGTACTTTTTTATTTGACAAATAAATGAAATGGAATGAAAAGTTGATTTAAGTGTGTTTTTTTTCTCTAGTTTTGGTAACTCAATAACCCCATGGGCTTATCTATAATAATAACCGACTACTCTAATAATAATAACACAATCTCAACTTAGAATACAAACAAGATCTAAGAATAAACAACAAAAGCAAACGATAATAGTGTTGATGATGATGAAAATGATGACGATGGCGATAACAAATGCAATGACGATGATGATTATGCAATCGCACCACAGCGCCAAAGAGCAACACATTATTTATAAAAACTATGGTTCTGCGAACATTCATTGGGAACTACCAACTCCATTTAATGCTGTTCTCAACCGAGAACACAATAATGTTACTCTCAACCGAAGGCAAAAAATAATTAAAAACTGACCTTTACCAGCATTTTCTTGATGGGCGTCGCGCTTGTGTCGCTCATGCTCTATAAAGGAGAGAAGTACAGTAATAATTATAACTGATGATGATATTGTTGTTAAAGCGGGCACGCACTATACTAGGACAGACGCGATTCTAGAGCGCAACGCCACGACGTGTGCAGCAGATCGTTTTTAATGACGACAGTTCAAACTGCCGCTGACAGTCAGTAGACGGTGTCGCGTCGTCTTTTGTTCACTGGGAGCGGAGTTGAATTCGTCGGCAGTGAGTGTACAGCTTAAGAGATCATCCGTTTTATTTTCACCATTTTCAAGTTGAAGTTTTTTTTTTCTGTAGGCTTTTAAAAAAAAATATATTTTTACTTTACAGTTATTTTTTCATATATTTAAATTTCAGTTCATATTACTACACTACACTCACCATTTTCATTTGAAGTATCTTCATTGCTATCCTCTATAAACTCGCACACGGCTCCCTCCGCGACATAACAAATACCTTGCACGTCGCACCGAAGGACGCATGTAGCTGAAGAGAAAGAGGGATAGAGAGAAAAAGAAAAAAAAAAACAATAATATAAAAAAAAAAATATTATGGATATATAATTTGTTGACATGATAAATATAAAACTAGGGCTGTCACTCCATATAGAAGTGCACATCTCCACCATATTATTATTTTAGTCTACTAATATGTAAAAAATACTTATATATTTTTTTTCTCCCCAACGTGCTTTTTATCCCCGATGGGGGGGGGGGAAGCAACTCGCCCCGACGGGGGCCCTGGCTCCCCCGGTCCCCCCGCTTGTGCCACCCCTGGATCCAAGCAGGGAAAGTGACAAAAGTTCCTGTCAGTAAACCAGTGATAGAAAAACAAATAAAATCAGAACAAAAACAGTGTTTTTTTTTTTTCTGAGGAAATTCATCAGTTAAATTATCTCACTCACGGTTGTCATTTGAATCCCCCACAGATTTACAAATGGAACCATCCGCTACACGGCAAACACCCTCTTCATCACATTCAATGACACATTTATTATCTGGAGAAAAGAAAAAAAAAATTTTTTTAAATAGTTATGGATGTATAATTTTTTAGATGATAAAACATAGAACTTGCGCAGTCACTCAATAGAGGGGTGCATACCTTCTCTTTGTTATAGACTCCATTAAAATGTTGTTGGTAGACGCAGTATGGGAGAGACGGGCGGATAAGGAAGAAGGAAAGTAAGGGTGCAGGAGGAGTAGAAGAAGAAAGCAATAGAAGAAGATGAGGAGGATATGGATGGGGAGGACAAGATCCCCGGGGCCAGAGCTTACCAGGGGCCCATAGAAATTGCAGGTAGCATTTTTTTCAATTTTTTTTTACAGAAATAATAATAACTATCTTAGACCATAAATAATTTCATGGGTCCTCTAATAGTTGGCCCCTCCAGATTGAAACCACAACTCCCCACCCCCAAAAAAGAAAAAAACAAGCATTTTTTCGCCTCTGGCACCATAAATCAGTATCTTGATGAATTATAATAATGCTTAAATAAATCTTGTTATTGTCTGTTTGGAGTTTCAGAGTTATTTCACTAGACATTTTAATGTATATTTTATCTAAATAAAACTGCTTTAATAAAATAAAATTTTAGTCTGATGATGGGGAGGAGAAGGGTGAAAAGAATGATGGCGGTGTGGAAGACGAGAATGATGACGGTGTGGAGAAGAATTTGGGAAGGTGATAGTGAGGAGGAGGATCGTGATGATGATTATGCCAAAGATGATCAATATTCTCAATTGTACCACCAGTGGCTGCTAGTACTATCCGTAAATTTTATTAGGTGATGATAAATTAATTGGAGTGAGACTCCTATGGATGAAGCAAGTTACCGTACAAGCTAATTCACACTTTACATACATACATACATACACGCGTACACACCTACATACATACATACATATAATTGTATATATATATATTTATATATATACATATATATAAATATATATTTATATGTATATATATAATATATATAACATATATATGTATATATATAATATATAGTATATAATATATAACATATTATATATACATATATATATATAGTATATATATATAAATATAATGAAACTTGAATATGGTGTTCAATTGGCGACAAATATGGGGAGCACTTTCGGTTATATGCCGTTATACATGTATATGATTCAAGGTCATGAAGAAGGGAGCACTCAATACGAAAGTACAGCTAAATAAATTAACAGAAAGAAACGTAAACTTGTGTACCTCATACGTTTATACCACTACTAATTTGTTAATTCTGGGTGGCAAATCATTATAAACTTTTCGCATAATCATATTTATGGCAGAAACACTTTATGGTCGAAAACCAATGTTTATTGGTGTTATGAAAATAAAGAGTCAGATTTATAATAAATAATATAATCATTACTTATCGTATATAACACACTTTCGGGAAAAAAATGATTTAAAGCATTTCTTGTTTCACGTTAGGCCTATTTCTTTATCACACTATTATTAAAATAACATTAGCTACCATCTATTTATTATTCATACCACCGCGCTTACTAACACAAAATAACTATTTATAATATATAATTTAATAAAGCAGGTGATTAAAATAATATTACAACGCTTTTAGACGATTTTAATTGTTTAAGGCGCTATAAAAGTCGATAACGCCAGAATAGGCTAATGTGTAAATTATGGTAAAAATCTTAACGATATAATAGTAAATTATAAATATACAAATGAAATACAAGCAATATTTAATTTCGATTTAAAAAAAAAGAAGAAATAAATAGGATAAGCTAAAGATAGTTAATATGATATCACAAGTAGATGACTAACTCAAAAATGGTAGAGCACTCGCTTAGCATGTGAGAGATACCGAGATCAATGTCCTGGATTTTTCTTAATTTAAATCTTAGCTTGCTTTATATAGTTAAAAAGTAATAAGCTTATATAATATGAAAATAATGGGAAGTGGCAATACAGAATTAATATTAACTTTGATACATATAAAATCTTCATTTTAAAATAGTTATATAGAGTATATACATTTGAAAATAATTTTACATTGAATTTAATGTCAAAATGCATTATAAACATTTGAGAACACAAATAGTTGATAAAATTAGATGATTTACGACATTAGGCATATACGCTGAATTAAACGTAATGGTAATGGTAATGGTGGGATATTTGTAGTGCGCCTTCCACAATAAAATCGTCTCAAGGCGCCGAAGAAAAGGTAGGACCATAAATTATAAAAAAAAAAAAATTATATTATATCTTAAATTAATTAGCCTATATTAATCAGAACATTTTTTTTATATTTGTTATAAGTTAAATAAATAAAAATAAATAAATAAAGAAAGAAAATAAATAAATTAATAAGTAAACAAATATAAAATTAAATAAAAAGATAAATAAATAAATAAAAATAAGTTAAAAAAAAAAAGAAGAGATACGTCAAAATATAATATCAAAATTTAAGAATATAATAATTAATAAATTTAAATGATTACGATATTGTATTTATATGGTAAGCAAACTATAGTTGGTTTTTGAAAAAAAAATTGGAAGGAGACACCAAAATATTATACCATTAAAAAAGTAAAAAGGAATATAGATGTATGAAAAGCATCGGATATTAACAAATATGTTTAAATGATCATTGCGACTACTAATGCGAAGGATGAATTAAAAGAGAACCTAATTAAATGAAAACAATTAACACAGACTGAATAATTGGCAGTGGCCTATATGAATCCAACATATTAATGTAGACAAAAAGCAGTCAGTGGACGGTGTGATGACCACTGTCGGTACGTCAGTATTTTAAAGCTCATTTGTCCCTAATAAATATATAGGCCTAACACGACAACTTTTTAATTATTCTAACTCTGGGTTTGGCTAGTTTCTACAAACGATATTTGAATATAATTATCTTACCTGTAGCACCACAGAAGTTCAATACTAGAAATATTGTAACGAGTACCGTTATGCTAATCATTTTGAATTATAGAAAGTTATATCTGGTTATAGACAGTAAGGTATACACAACCGTCAACAAGGTTGATTTCAAAATGATAGCGTCTTATGCGATTCCTTGTACTTATAAAATGATATTTCTACCTTCTTAAAAAAAATCCCCAAATCTATAAAGTATATAGCATACTGCATAGAGACTTAAAATATGATTAATATGCCTAGCAACAGCCAAGGTGTGTTGTCAAAGCAAGGGTCGTCTTCTTGAAATCGTTTAATTTCACCAATAAAAACATCACTGCATTAGGTGTAGAATGTAGATAAACACTTAATCGTAATTAGGCTTAATAGTTTGGTTTTGTATTTATGTTACGATGGCATGTCGTAATTAGCAGTTAATTTTAGTGAGGTGTAATTATTCGAAATGATGCATTTTAATGTTTTCGTAACAGCGAATCTATCAGATATCAACTTCAATTCAATTATAGAGGAATTCGTAGAAAAAGAAATACTTAGAGATTTATTAATGAGAAAGATATTACTGGTAATAGCAAATCACTTGTACACGTCGAAACCAATGAATCTTTCCTATAAGCCCCGCCCATTGGTTAATACGAATTGTACGTGTTTATACGTGCTTGGATTATGCGCGTTGTATAAGGTCCCCACAGGGACACCCAAATACGGGCATTTGTGGCACAACAACACGTGTGTGTATTCCCACCGCTGTTTTGATTGGTCAAGTTGTTATCCGAAAACGTCATTGTTGTCTCCTATCTCAGTATAGTAGTACTATATTGGTTACTAGGCTACGTTGCTAACGCTTTATCTATGTTTATGTTCGTCTGTGGTATGCAGATGAGTCTTGGGCATATGTTCATGTAGATGCTGAGTTTAGAAATAGACGAGACAAAACATTGGTACTGTAGAGCTAGTACGAAGATGTATAATGCATAATGTAGCCTGCCACAAGAACAGTCTTTGTGAGTAATTAATCACTCTTTCTACGATTTACACTATATAATAACTTGTTAAATCCCAGTTATGTTTAACGTTTATATCGGATGTTACTAGCATTATATTACTATTGTCGATTACCAGTATTTCATACCGTACAGTATCAAAGTAGGGCATAGGCTTATAGCTGTCTTTGTAGGCCCTAAGCTTATACATAGGCTTGTTATAGACGTTTAATGATGACGTTTTCTTATTATAACTGAGCCCTATGTTAATATTTATCGTACTGATTTACGCCATTTATGTGGGGTGGCGGCCCCCAGGCTGTTCGATATACAGGTAAATATCTACACGTTATTGTGTGGATGTGGCGGCGTTTACGCTAGCCTATGCTTATTGCTATGCTTTTTTCATTTATATATTTCAGTTACCGCACGCACGCACGCACGGCGTGCGAGGCATATGTGTTACATGTTTGACCTATAATATGTGGGCCTTGTATTCAATTTTTTTAATAAAGTGTGCCAGATACTACTGTTTCAACGCAGAGCTGACAAAGTGATCATTGCATAATAGACAACTTAACAATTGTTAATCGTTCGTGATTATCGCAGCCTAAGACTGAAGCCTTTAAACATGGTGTGGGAATATTTTAAACTCAGCACCACATTTAGGAGTGTGTGATTAGCATATCTTTAGC